CCCGCGCTTCCGAGCTCGACTTCCCCGGCTCAGTGCTTGAGTTCTTGGAGGGTATGATGGGCCAGCCTTACGGTGGCTTCCCCGAGCCTCTCCGCACAGATGCCCTCCGCGGACGACGGAAGCTCGACAAGCGCCCTGGTCTCTTCCTCGACCCTGTGGACTTCACCAAGGTCAAGCGCGAGCTGGGCAAGAAGTTCGGAGCACCTGTTACGGAGTGTGACATTGCCTCCCATGTCATGTACCCCAAGGTGTTTGAGGATTACAAGAAGTTTACTGCTGAGTATGGTGACCTTTCAGTTCTGCCTACCAGATACTTCCTATCTCGACCAGAGATTGGTGAGGAGTTTAACGTACAACTGGAGAAGGGCAAGGTCCTCATCCTCAAGCTTCTTGCTATCGGTCCTCTGAGCGAGCAGACCGGCCTTCGCGAAGTCTTCTTTGAAATGAACGGTGAAGTCCGACAGGTTACCGTTGCTGACAAGAAGGCTGCTGTTGAGAACATTAGCCGCCCCAAGGCTGATCCTAGTGACTCCAGCCAGGTCGGCGCTCCTATGTCTGGTGTTTTGGTTGAGCTGCGTGTCCACGAAGGCTCTGAAGTCAAGAAGGGTGACCCCCTTGCTGTTCTGTCTGCCATGAAGATGGTGAGCTTTTCTTTTTCTTTTCCCCCTACCATTTAAGACTAAAAGACGCATGTTGCTAACTTTGATTATAGGAAATGGTTATCTCAGCGCCCCACAGCGGAAAGGTGGCCAGTCTCCAAGTCAAGGAGGGCGACTCTGTTGATGGCTCTGATCTGGTGTGCAGAATTACCAAGGCTTAGGCCTTTTCTAAGAGTCAATGAGAAGGAAAAAAATGGTTGTCTGAATTTCAAGAGTGCTTTCAAGCGGGCTGTTTGGACCGGGCAAACAGATGACCCACAAACATACAAAAAGGTGTTCCCCCCTATACAATGGCACAGCTGGCGTGTGGCAGAGCAGGGAACTGGTTATAGGTTTATTCAGTAAGATTATACAAAGTGTGCGTTATACGAATTATCAATTACAAGTACGGTTCGTGATCCTTAGATGTTTTGATCCCAGCTTTACCGAGATGAGATTTCAACCGCTTGGTTCAGCTACAAACATGGAAATGTAGAAGGGATACCATTTATTGCATGCACCCCTTCTAATTCCGTATTACCTCGCGCTTTTCGACGATAAATCGAGGTTCTAGCTAATACAATTGGCCAAAGCTCCTGTTTTCTCCACAATAAATCATCGTCGAAGTTGTGAGGGAACTGCAATGAAATATCGTCGAAAAGGCGAGGGAGCCACAATAAATCAAAATCTAGCCCAATTAAAATCCATTATAGAGCTTCATTGGCCAATCAAACTCTCTTATTTTTCATTTATTGTGGTTCCCTCGCTTTTTCAACGATATTCTTTTGCGGTTCCCTCGCAACTTCGACGATAATAATAGATTTTAATTGGCCAAATTCTTTATTTCCCAACTTTTGAACTTATCGTCGAAAAACACGAGGTAGTACGGTATTCTCTGTTCATTACGAATTTAAGGAAACAGATAGGCTCAAGCAGCTTTGGAGAGAAGATGTACATACTTGGTCCCTTGGCTAGTATGACGTGTACCTTTGGAGCAACGGTGTAATAATTGGCATTTCAGCGATAAATGTGGACCAGCAGACGAGTTGGATCATCCGACGACTATCAAAGCTCTGTGCAGATTGTTTTATTTTTCAGCATCGATTGAAGGTTGTTTGAGCATTGCAAGAGCAGAGCGGTACTCGCGCAGTAGCTAGAAGTCTAGAAGTACTTGGGAATAGGACAAAGGTCTACACTTTACAGGTACCTACTAGGTGGGTTAGTACTAAGCTGGTTCACAATTCCAGTCATTTCATAGAGGAATGAGGAGCATTTAGCAGTATTGGTAACACGTGATTCTCTTTCCCCCCCTTCTAGTAAGCTGAGTGTTTGTTGGGTTGCACGACATGCAATGATGTACAGTAAATGCATGAGATGAGATCAGATGCGCGATAAGACGATCGCTTGGCTGCTTGATACTTAGTAACGCTGTGAATAATTGATTTCGTTCTAGTGGTTGTCTGGCACATCTGGATCCCAAGAAACTTATGTAGGAGGCCAGGGCCACCCATCTCTCGTCACAGTGCCATCATCGAAGTAGCTTGGCTGTCCGAGCGTTTGCAGATGGCTGATGTCAGCGCAAGGGGAGCTCGGAGGGTTTCGCAGCTTACCTAGGCGGTGCAAATATTTCGCTCAAACCTGCGAGCGAGCGAATGGCGGGAGGAATGGGCAGATGGCGCATGAGCAGGAATTTCATGCAATCAACCATTGGGTCGGCGCAGGTGCATGCATATGCTCTATGCATGGCGGTGCGGTGCGGCGGTACGGACGGAGCAGGAGATGCGTGAGGGGAAGCTGCTTGCTTGCTTGCCCTGGAGCCGGATAAATGGGCGAAGAAGAATTCGGAGCAGAAGCAAAAAACAGTCCAGCTTGCGGTTGCTTGGGTTGGGGTAGGTGAAGTGATCGGTCATCAGTTGTAGCACCCGCATTTTGGCGAGCGATCCGGGTGGATGGATGGATGGACGGATGGCTGGATGAATGGGTGGCTGAATTGCATGTCTGGGTTGGACAAGAAGAACACGAGATTGGCTAAATCATTGTCGTCCGTCTCCAGGCCCAGCGTGCGCGTCCAGCTAAAGCCTAAAGCTTCAGTTTAACATTATACTCCTGAGACCGTTCTTATTATAGGTACTAACTAGACATCTGGGCGAGTGCGATGCCGCCGCTGCAGAGTCCTGCTCCCTGCTCTGCTACGCAAGTACCGCACTTGTACGAGTTACGTACTCCTTGTACACAGGCAAGTGGTCTCGTGCCGCCGGTGCTGCTTCACCAAAACATCCTCGCACACGCACGGGAGTAATCCTGCAGCAAGGCATCCCCCTGAAGCCTCTCGCGTCGGTCAGTCAGATTCACTGGTAATACGCCCTTTAGGAAGTTGGGCGAATATCCGCCCTGCCGCAGCGCTGCACCGTGGTGTTGCTCGTATACTCTTCGCCCTTAACGCCTGGTACTATATAAGGCAGTACTAAGATATCTTACCTTGTACTGTCTCTACCTAACCTTGGGCACTGTTAGCCAAGATAGTAGTAGGTAGGTAGGCACAGTACGAATATAGGTTTAGTAATCCAATCCAAGATCATTTGCTGGAGCTGGATGCACTTGATTCAGATCCACATAATGAATGAGAAGATGACCATCGGATCTGCTGGAAACGAAGAGGGTCCAAGGGGATATTCCGGGACTGTGCAGGAAGTCCTTGTTCCAGTACGAACTCTTTGCCTACAGAGGAGATGTCGCAGTATGTATCTGATAGGCGTTTGAAACTGCCTTTGCTAGCTGTACCCCGGAGATGCCCCCAGCGCGGGATTTGTGGAGAGGCAAAGCCTAGCAGGGGGATTTAGCGGGCCTTTGACCTGCACAGGCGCCGGGCCCTGCTTGGAAAGCCCCAGTTTCTTGGGAGAGGATGCTTTCGGTGGCAAGCTTGCCGGATCCCCGCTCTAGGCTTCCTGTTTTCAGCGGCGCTGGATTTGCTCTTAACTTTTTTGGCCGTCCAGCTGGCCTCTCCTCTTGCTTTTTTCCTTTGAACTCTTAATTTTCGCTCATCCCTCTCGCCTCTCTTCGACCTGCTGTCTCTCCGACTTCCTTACTCCTCGAACACTGCACCTATTGACCGCCGTCAAGCTGCAAATCCCGCTCCCCAGCCATACTTGATTCTACCGATCCAGCTGCTCCGTTCCTCGCACACGCGATCTTCTGTCGTTTATGCGCCCGCTAAGAGGAACTCCAATATCCAACACCACCGACCGCATCGCGACATACTAGAACCCGCCTCCTCGTCCTCTTTCCCCTCCTCCATCGAGACAGATATAGAGAAACAGACCCTCTGATAAAATTTTCGCTGCCAAGCATTGAAATGGAGAGCCTACAGCTATCACAGGTCCTCGCCGACTTGAGCAATCTCGGCGCAGCTGTATGTCTTACTGCGTCTTATCTTACTGCACTCCCGATGCCCTTGCCACTCTCCCCAACAATAATCTTCAATAAATCGCTATATACGAGTCTTGTTTGTTTTTTCATTCTTTTCTAACAATGCATTCACATCAATAGGAACCTGAGGCTGCCGCTGCCATTGTCAATGCCAACATTCCCATTATTCAGACCGAGCTTATTAAAAACGACACCCACACATCTTCCCAGCAACAACAAAGGCCTTCATCTGGCCTGAGGCGCGCATGGTCGTCCGAAGCGGGCGCGCAGCCCAGATTCGACAAGATGGGCCGGCGCATTCTCATCAGTTCACCAAAGTCTGGTTCGGCCGCCAACTCTACCCCGGGCACACCTCAACCATCCAATGTAAGATGCGCCACGGTGTTATAGAGAGGGGTTTTTTTTTTGTCAGTTCCAGAGCTAACTGTGGCTTGATATTATTCAGTACGATGAGGACCTTGAGCGAGCTAATATGCTCATGGCCCTCTACGATATTCGCTCCAAGCTCAAGCAACAGGACAATAGCAGCCTCATGCGAGCGCGCGAGAAGATCAATGCTCTAGCTCAACGCCAACAAGCCCAGCAATTTGCCGAACTCAACATGAAAAAGGCCGACGAAATGCGACGAAACCGCTACTCCTTCCCCAAGGTTTAAGATACCAACGCTGTCGACCGGCGACTTTTTACCTTTTTTTTCTCTCTCTTTTTCTTGCTCTGCGCGCAAAGCAATAGATCGGGCTACGGCCAATTTTGGGACCTTTGAACTTACTCCGCAGGCTTCTTTTTGAGTCCTTTTTTCTTCTTTTGTTTCGTACTTTTTTCCTTTTGGGCTCTCTGTATGGAGAAAAGAGAGAAGCAGGGGTAACGAAACCAAATAATGATACACCATTCTTTTTGTCAAAATGACCTACGCCTTAAAATTTATACGGTATATTAAATGACGGATGGACGAGTCGAGCTCAACCGATGGGAGCCACGGTTTGATCGGTATGGGGAAGATGGGTTTTGCTTCTTATACCCTCCTTTTTTTAGTACCTTTGGATGATATTCTTGGGTTTTTGATGTCGCGGCAAGAGGATAGTTTTACCTTGTAGCCACTCTCCTTTTACGCAAGCGGAATTGAGCACGGAGTTACGGGAGAAAGGGCGTATTTTTTGCCTGGTCGCTACATAAAGGAGTATTGTTTCGACTTTGACTAGGCATATTGATTTTTCCTTTTTTTTTTATTCTTTTCTTATGTTTTCCTTTGCTGTTGTCTTTCTTCTTTGAGAAAAGATGTAACAAACCTTGTTGTTTGGTTGTTCATTCTGCCTAACTTTGGAATGGATACTGTTGGAGCTCTTGTACGATATACGATATTTGAAATACAATAAAGCAACCCAACAGCATGCCATATCGAATATTTACCCGTCTATTCGTCAAATATCTTCGCCCACCGATAGAGAAGAGTAATATTAATTGATTAGAGTGACTCCTGCTGGCTCCTCGAATAGTGGTGAATTCAAAGGGCTTTGAGGGCCGAAAAATTCCGGATTGACGTAACCGACTGAAGATGGGTTTTGCTTTGAGGCCTATTCTTGTATAAACTCTGCCAGTTTAATACTCTTATGCAACCACCTGGCCGGGTACGGTGGAAGNAAAAAAAAAGAAAAAAAAAAAAAAAAAAAAAAAAAACATCTTTGTCGATAACCCTGCTATAGTGGTATTATGTTGTAGAAGTAGATTGGCTCTTTTATCATAATATATTAGGTAGTTGATTTGACACCACGCGCTTTCCTTGACTGGTGTATAATTCCCTGTGATAAACGAGGGTCGCACGGTACATTCGCACCATATGTAAGATTGTAAACAAAGGAGGGAGTTTATGTAGACGCTGCCCATGAAGCTTCAATATCCTGATTATTACTATCGCTATATACCTATATAGCGTAGTACTCAAAGAGAATACATCTATACAATAATACTACTACATCTGTCTCGCTACTGTAATGGTGCCTTTGTGTCAGCGGACTATAGCTGGCTCCAATAGAAAGTGACGCACTTTGTGACTGCTAGCTACTACTACCTACTAAGGTATCCGGGCAATTTATGTACCTATGCTGAACAGATTCCTAATTACTGCACAAACCTTTATCCTCCTAATTTATCGTGAGAGGTTGCAGCATTTTGCGTAGATACTTGACTCTCTTGGTTGACGATGGGGTATGAAACCTTTATGACCGCAAATATATTCCCATGTTTATGGAACTCAAATGTACCTCGATGGCTGTGTTTTCTTTCTCGGTTTCTAGTCCAAGCAATAAGACCATTCTAAAACCACCAAATATTTCAAATAAGGAATAAAACCCCGGGAAGAGCGAAAATTTGTCGGTTTCCGCAGGGCTTAGACCCGAATCCAGCGCTCCTTGCTGGGTCAATAATTCTTCCCTTTTCCTTCTAGAACCGGAGACGGAGATTCCATGAAGGATTTCCATGCACTGCGCATTTATTTCGTATTCCGTATTCCGTAATACGATTCGATGGCGCCCCGTCTTTATTCTTCTTTTCTCCAGCGCAACGCCACCTGGAGCCTTTGGGATCCACTAGACGGAACTGGGGAAAGCTGTTAGCTGAAGAGAGAGCGCCGATTGGTGGGTGAGGGATTCTTCTGCACAGCCATTGCATTCGAACAAGGGCCAGAGGCATCAACTTTATTGCTCGTGTGAGTTTAGCGGTACATGGCTGCGCGTGGAATGCTGTCCTGACAGGCAAGTATAGTACCGACTGAAATCGTCTGTTGCCGAAGTCCGTTCTCGTCGGGTGCAGCTTTTCCGCCGATGGCGTGGCCGAGACGATGAGATTGGGTGGTTAGTAGGATGCTTTTTGTTGCTTGGTTGCCTGCCGAGGCACTACTGGCATTAGGCGGATTGTGCTGGCCGCAGCGCCGTCCAGGCTGCTATTCGCCCTGCTAGAACAAAACACCTGCCTGGAATAAATCACGTATGGAGGAACCAGTATTCCAAAAAGCGGCGATCACCAGCATCAGCAATAAGCAGCGCCGGCGCTAGGGCCCTAATGCCCGCTGCTGCTGGCATTGTGTCAGTGGGCAGTGCTGCTGGGAAACGGGCATTTTTCTGGGCCCCAGCGGTCACAGTCACATTCAATGCTGGCGTGGCGGGTGGGTGCGGTGGCGCTGCTTGCTTGGCTTGGCTGCTGGCGATGACATGCGCCATGAACGCGGACACAACTTGGCTGACATTTATACAACATCATATAATGGCATGAGGGGATCCGTCATCCTCCGCTGTCTCTCTCTCTCTCTCTCTTGCTTTCTCTCACTTCTCCATCTTCACACACGCTCCCCTCCAATTATTCTCACAGTCGTCTGTGCGTCCCTTGGTTTATATACCTCTAGTACTTCAGCGCCTGGCAGTACTATCTACTAGCTTTAAGCTGCTTACAGGTACCTACCTTGCGCTTTGCGTTGCCAATAGCGTTTGCGTCTAAAAAAAAAAAGGTGGCGGATAGGACCCGTCGTCTGATTCCTAACTGGCCCAAGATTCCAACGTCATACAGAATCGCAAACCAACGCAGTCGCAGCTGCCCGCCCGCGCCAACTTGCCCAAGTCAGACAGAAAATCGCAGGGCGCAGGCTGAGGCCACGAATTTTAAACTCTGGGCATCCCTCGGAACCTAGCCGCCTTCTCTTATTTTCCTTCTCCCTTTAAATCCTTTGCTTCTTTTGCTCTTTTGCCCATTCATCTTCCATCTACATTCGCCTTCGTACAGAAACCGTTTCGCCACCAAAGAAAGTCAATTCCTGCGGAAAGCGATACACGATAATCTAGCGATTCACTGACATTGTCGGAACTTTGCCCCCCGTCGACTTGTGTCTAGAGGTTCGCATTTTACCTCTACTTTATTCAGCCATGGCTCCGACCGTGGACATCTTCGCTAGAGACGACGGTTGCGGATATGGATATTTCTTTGATGGAATCGGATGTCGCCGCAAGAGCGGCTGGTACTTTTGGGGCAGATGGGTGCTCGCTGGTATCGCCGTCGTTTTCGCCTTGATTCTCTTATCCAGCTGCCTGTAAGATTCACTTCCATCATCGCTTTACTCCCTTGTCCATGCACAGTCAACTTCCCTTCATCATAATTAATACTAACACTTCGCAATAGGTGCATCACACGACGAAACCGTAGGCGCGGCGTGCAGCCCATGTACGGGACCGGCTGGTTCAGCGGCCCTCCCCAGGGCCAACCTGCTGGAAACAACAACAACAAATACAATAACGCCCACGAGATGAACAACTACCAGTCTGGATACAACCAAGGCGGCTATCAGCAGCCTGCCTACGGCGAGGGATACGGAGCCTATACCAGCCCTCCACCGTACGGCCAGCCACCTGTGGGCAACCAGACAACAGGCACCACGTTCCATACCAATGACGGATACAACACTGGCCATCAATACGGCGTACAGCAGCCTCAGAGTGCATACCACCCTGGTGGTGAATATCAACCTCCTGTGGGACCACCTCCAGGAAAATAGGCAGGCATTGTGACTTGGAATGAAGAAAGCTGAGATCTGACTCTGCGTTTACGAAAAGAAATCAAAAGAGAAAAAAAGAGAGAGAGAAAGATAAACGGGAATAGGGTCGGCCCGGCGTTTCGGTAGGGACAAGAGGAGATTGATATCCAAATTTGCTTTTTATTTTACGAAGTGGAAGAAGGCTGTGATCGTACATGATATGCCTAGACGATGAGATGGCGCCAAGCTAGCACGATTTGATTGCTGCGGCTGAATCGCAGCGAGCCATACTAATCAGTAGTATATTTCTCTTTAATTTTAGTACAATTTCATTGACGCCTGATTATTGGGCTTTGATATGTGTGTTGCATTCTCCAGTAATTATTTGTGGTTTGGCAGCATTGACACTCACACAGACGAAATTATGATGCGCCGAGATTTTATCGAGTGTCTTAGCAGTGATACAAGCCAAGACTGTTGGTGTTTGGAGGCCTCCTCTTGCCACAGAAGCGGGGATTACTCGGTGGCGGCTAAGATGCATCAGATGCTGAGTCCATACCTAGGTATATTAGTTCACACTCCCGTCTTTGTGCCACTTCGTATATAGGCTCTGTATTCTGCATACCCAAGTACTCCAATTGATACAGCGTTGCGAGCCCATAGAAGTATCGATAGCCGTGCTGCAGCCGTGAGCTTGCACTCTGCGTGCTGAGTGGTCATTTCCACAAAACTTAATGTCTCGACCAGTTACGTATATATAGTATCTCGGCTGCAACACCATTTCCCCCTAGCAATTCTCTTTACAATGGAGTATAAAGCGAATTAGTCCATATATATATATATTTTTTCTCTTTAAGAACTGATCTTAACTGCTGCTATTTCCCTAGCAACGGGAGCGTCATTCACGATTCTCCTTTTTGAGGTCTCAGACACCCACTTAGAGCAGCAGTAGGGGTAACTTAGTAACACTTGCTATCAGCACTTTTTACGTATTAGCCACAAACTTTTTTTCACGCCGATGCAGCGCTTCAGGGGGAGAGCAGCTGTGGCTTTTGAACATTTCTTTTTCTTCCTGCCTGGCCCAATCAAGACACAGCCGATAAGCCTCAGACCGTTATAGTAGGCTGTGTAAGAGGACGTGCGTCTGCGCCAAAAGCACTGGCCGGGTTCAACGGCCCGCAAAGCTAAAGCCCTTTGGGGTCAGAGCTGAGGCTGCGAAGGATGAGGGCTGAAGGGACGAAACTAAATTTGTTGAACGAAAAAACGTTAGGGCAAGGGAGCAGAATTAGGGAAAAAGAGATACACAATGCATAGAAACAAAGAAAAGGAAAAGGAAGGAAGAAAAAGAGGGTCTAAATTGTCATCCCCACGACCATCTCTGTTAGCGGCCCCGTTGGAATTGGGATCCTCTGGTGCCAATTCCCCTTCTTGGCTCACGCAAGACTTTATGGATCCATTTAACATTCTCGCCTGTCAGTTATCCTTTTGTGCCTAGACGTCGATATGCCGGCGCCGATGACGTTGAAACTCCTTTTCTGCCCTTCCCTTCTCGCTTTCCGCTTTGTCGATGCTTATTTTGCGTGATGACAAGTGGATCCTTGGCTTTCGTCCCTTGTCTGCATCGGTATCAAGTGCTGGTGGCGCGGACTGGAGGCGCGGGTAGAGATTACGAGACGATGTCGCCGCCTTCGGGTACCTGAATGGCGAGCTCTTGCTTTGCGGAGTGCTGACGCAGAACAGACAAGCAGGGAGTGCTACGGCAGCGGTAGCCTGTACGCGGCGCAGCTCGCGGCCAGAAGCTGCCTGACAGGTACTGCTACTGCAACCGCTAACCACCAGCAGAGAAAACCATCCACTGAGCAGGCCAGCCGTCGCGACCCCTGCAACGCACGTTCCCGTTCTTACCCCTGCATGCTTCGCAGCACTAAGATCATCCCAAAGTAACGGTACCAGAATTTGAGGCTCTAGAAGCAGGCAGAAGTAGGGGGCCTAAAGTAAACGGTACTAACGAGGGACCCTCAACGTGGTCCTTAACGTGCATGATGCGTGATAAAAAGCTGGAGCGACAGGTGCCCCTTCCTGTTGTACCCAGGCAATGCGGCACGATGGCAGATTAATTTTCTTTTTCCTTTCTCTTGTGTCTCCCCTGCACCTTGCAAACTTTTCCCGTTGGATATTTTTTTTTCATATCCAAAGCCTTTCCTTTTGGTTGCTTTTGCAACGTCGTTTCTGCCCTCCCAGGCTTCATTCCTTTTTCCTGTTTCCTGCTTTGATGGCCAGCCGCACAAACGGCCACACACATTCCCTCTTTTTGGACTTTTGATCTTGTCAAATTTCCGTCCTTCATTACAATACTATCTCTATATTACTGGGAACGGAGTACAGAGACGAAACGAACACGACGACGATACAGCCACGGAGATAGGACAGCGTATGCGCTCTAAGTCTACGCGCGCCTCGTCAGCTTCATCTGTTGGATAACATTGCTTCTCCCGTTTGACGAGCGACATTCAGCTGCACTGCACAGCCCTTCACTCTCTCACGCATTAAGAGCTTCGCCGTTACGCGCGAGCTTTAAAAGCCAATCCTTTTACTTGCCGGTTTTAACCGTCTTCACAATCCTTAGCCTGCAGAGAGAAGTTAGCCTTTGTGCTACCATAACCCTCTGACGATCATTTCAAGGGGTAAAGAATCACGCTTGTCCTTGGTGGTGTAACAAGCGATACGGTGTGCGACATCATTCTTTCTTCGCGAGAGCTCAGCCTATTGTTTTCATCATCTCATCATTCTACGATCGAATCCAAAATCGAAAGATTTACTACGACCGACGACCGTATTTTGAGCCGCATTTTGTGTTACTAATTTCGCTTCGAAGCCCTGTCAGCTGGAGCATGACTTGGACGTCCATTTAAGCTGACAACCGACGACATCCATTAAGAGTTACAAGTAACACAACTTGATTTTTATTCATCTACATATCTGGGGAGAAGGAACGAACGATTGTCCATTCTCACAGGATACCAATCCAAATCATACACGATGCCTGCCGTCGATGTTGCTATGGTCCGAAGCCTTCGGGGCGGGCTGTGGGAGACTGTGAAAGACACCATAGCCAGGAGTCTCGCCACCGAAGTCGTCCGGAGGGACATCGTCGCGGATGCTGATAATAAGATTTCAGACGTGAAACAAGCCTTTTCAAGCTGGAATGGGTGCATGGCCCACGTTTACTGCAAGTATGTGTCGCAACCCCCGCGTAACGTGGTCACCTCACCCATATCATTACTAACTCCTCCTCTTATAGGTGGCCTGCTATTGCGCTCATGATTATCGGCGGTCTCATCCTTCTAAGTATTATCATTTGTATTGTTCGATGCACTTGTCTGGGAATGTCATGTTGCTGCAGTTGCTGCTACTGCCTCAAGTGTTGCGGTAACTGCTGCGGATGCTGCGATGCTCCCGGCGGAGCGGCTCGCAAGCAACTCGAAGCGCCATACGTTCCCCAGCAGTCCGGGGGATACCGACAGGAGGCACCCATGGTCGTTAATATGCCATCGCACTCGACGGCCCCTGCTTTCTCTACGCCAGCGTCTCATGGACCTCCGCAGTATGCCGAATTTGACGTCTCTAAGCATAATGCCGATGCCCTCCCTGCTATGCCGAGCTGGGAAACGGCCAACTCCAAGCAGATTGTGCTGGAAGAGGAGGTCGAAATGGATACGTTGCCGCCGAAGAAGGAGCCTCTTACTCCTCAGAACATGAACAGCCCTGGATTCAGAGGACAGCAGCAACAGCAGCAACAGCAGAGGTCTATGGGTCGAAATGACCCTTACAACCGGCAGCAGAACAACTCTCCTGGTTACATGAATTCCTACGGCCAACAACCCGCTGCCAGCCCATATGGAGCTCACGACCAAGCCTATGGTGCACATGATCAAGGATTTGCTGGGCACGATCAAGGTTACAATGGACATGACCAGGGCTACAACGGACACGATCAAGGCTACAACGGACATGACCAGGGCTACAACGCACATGATCAAGGCTATGGAGTGCAACAGCAGAACTTTGGAGGACATGACCAGGCTTACGGGGCCCACGAGCAGCAGCCTTATGGTGTCCATGAACAGAGCTACAACGGACATGCCCAAGGATTCAACGGACACGACCAAGCCTACGGCATGCATGACCAACACTACAATGGACCTAACCAAGATTATGACAACCACGTCGCAGATGGATACGGCGCCAGCCAACCCTACGACCACGCAGCCCCTACGGCAGGTATGCACAGTCCCGGACACCAGTCGCCCATCACCAACCAGCATGACTATGGCATTCCAAGACAGATGACGCCCGGGCCAGCACGTATGCCAACAGCCCCTCATGAGCTTGATGGACAGACTTCGCCAACTTCCTATGGCACTGATCCGCACATGAGAAAGTCTCCTGGCCCTAGTCTGAACCAGAGACGTTCTCCAGGCCCTAACAATGATATTTCCATAACTCCTCAAAACAAGCCAGTGCCTTACAGGACGTATACCCCTGGGCCGCAGAATACTCTTCATAATGGCCAGGCCTCTCCCATCACCAACAATGGTGGATTCGACTTCAACTCGGGTTATTCTCGTCCAGCACCTCAGGACGAGCCAAACTACGATCGGCGCCCCAGCGAATCCCACGAACATGAGGAGCACGAGGGATACCCAGGTTTCAAGCCTTACAGCCCGGCTCCACAGGGCTGGAGTGGTATCTAAGAGGTGCTTCCACTTAATGATCGAAAACTCATGTTGAATTCGGTTCTATCTACATGACATGTATGTTGGTGTACCATATATATCTTGAGGGCATTTTTGTTGCGTGGCGTTTCTAGTGGGCATATCGACAACCAGTTAGAGGTCCAGTTACGTTCTGTTTTTTTTTTGTTTTAGTATAGCCTCGTGTTTCGGTGCTTATATTACTGCTCACATTATGACGACATTTGGTTGGGTATGACTACTTGGGTTGTTTTCTTTTTATGATTCTTGGAAAGGCATACTTGCCTGGACCTTTTTTTTTTTTTTTTAATCCCATTTTCTCTTCTTCTAGAGGCGTGAATGGGTGAGATTGATGGTTTGGGGCTTTTTGTATGCATGACCTAAAGTTATTGGAGATACCATAACTATATATGATGAAGAAACTATTTCACACGAGACATGATCTGAGCGTTTATTAAATGTATTGCAATTCTTTGGTGTGAAGGTTAGCATCCCAGCTATTGTTTTGGCTTGCCGGATGGTTTCATAACACTTTTTCAGCATCAGAGTTTTTCACGTGCAAGATCAAGGTCAAAAGCAATGCTACCTACCACAGTGCATGTCAAACCACAAACAAACAGCTAGAAAAAAAACCTGAGACGTAAGAAAAGGGCAAAAAAAGAAATGAAAGATACTTTGATGGACGAACGGGGAATCGAACCCCGGACCTTTCCCAGGCGGTGATGCAACTCGTAGGTTGCATTATGCTAAGGGAAAATTATACCACTAAACCATCCGCCCAGCTTCAGCTGTGTTGAGGTTCTCGCCTTCCAAACACGTTTGATGAAGGCAAGGACAAAAAGCAAGTCACTAGTAGCTTGTAGAATCAAATAATGCCCGAAGTATAAAGTCAAAGTCAAAAGTTCCAATTGGGGGGCAAAAAAAAAAAAAAAGGCGATGTATTTCTTGCAAAAGACCCACCCGTTCTATCCTTTATAAGCGCTACATGACATGAAGACCCGACAAAGGGTAGAAGTGAAAACCCAAAACAAAATCAGTGTGAAACTCCAAGAGAGGTGAAAAGAAAAAAAAAAACGCCAGAATGTATCATGAATCCGTGCCAGAAAGGTCCATTTGCAAAACGATTTCGGGTAGTGGTGGTGGTGGTGGTATCGGCGGTTATGTACAAGCATATAGGGCAATGCGAATAGAGAGAAGTACGCTACTATTCCTTTGGATATAATTCAACCGAGACACTGTTAGACTTGGAATTGGGTTGGTTTGAGCTGCTGCCAACAATTGTCGGGGCGTCGCCATCCACCTCGGGGTCATATTCTCCGCCGAGGTTGCTGCGCGACCGTCCATTAATCTTGACAGGAGTCTCATCATCTTCGCTGTCTCGACCGATGGCACCAGAGTTCGAACCTCGTCTCTCATAGTCGTCATCATCGGCATCATCGTCCTGTGAAGCGAGCATCTCGTGGTCTGTCGTTTTCCTCTTAATGAAGGAATCGATGATGTAGTACTGGAGAGCGTTCATGATGAGGGGGAAGATCATCATGACGAAGGCGACTTGGAGCTTTTCGTTACCGTCTGTCCAGCCGAGCGCCCAGTCGCCGACGCGGGAGATCCACGGCATCATGATGAAGATGACGAGGACACATAGCTTCATGCCAAAGAGACCGGCAAAGTATATGAAGGATTGCTTGAGCCACCACCATGCGTTGGGGGGGGTTCCATAGTAGCCTGACTGGATAGACTCGTTGGGTTTGCCAAATGGCGTGAAGGACGCCAGTGCGGTGAAGACTCGCAAGAGGACAATGAGGATGGGGATGCCAACGGTGGTCTAAAGGATTAGATAATGATGAGCAATCAGCAGTCAAAGATTTCAGAGAAAGCTCAACTTACATCTATCGCCAGATTCAACAGATAGAAGGAGCACGGGTTCGGCACGTAGCTATCGTCGCCTCTCGCCACCAGCCTCTCCACCACGGTCGGCTCGACCTTGATGCTGAAGCGGCCGCTGGTCAACATGGACATGAAGATGTTGGAGATGTGCACCAGCACCGACCCAAAGACCTGCTTCGAGACGTCAAAGAACCAGACCTTGACGGGGCGCTGCGGGTGTTCCCTCCACCGCTTGTACACCAGCGACAGCATCGCCAGGCCGCCCAGCGCCGCCTGCACCACCAGGGCGAAGGGCCCGAGCAGCTGGCATTCGCCCGACGAGGAGTCGATGTGGAAGGGGCTCGAGGGAGAGGCTGTCGCGGTGGCCGAGGCCGACGATACGACGGACGTGGAGAGAGTCGCCATGGCTGTGAGGATTGCGGGAGTAGGAACGTCGACGCCTATCGCCGCATCACGAGCAAACTGCATGCCGTGGGAGATGGAAGAGAGGAGACGAGGGGGAAAAGGCGTCGAGGACCAAGAAGAAGAAAGGCGAGACAGAGGGCCAGGTCAGCGGATTGTCGTCGCGCTGAAGTGGCGGTGCGCCTTCAAAGCTACTGCGGAAAGGAACGGGGGGATGATCAGCCAGTGACAGCCTCGAAGCCGATGTTGGTGCAGCTCAATTTGAGTCACGAGAGGAGTCTTAGTTTGCGCGAGGCCAAGAGGGAGGGTCGCAATGCGTCTACGCTTAAACAAACTGCACGCAGTGACGGGAAAAGACGAGATGAACAAACAACCGGGATATCAAACACAAAACATCAAACAGGGAGAAATTTCGAACGAGGCGCAGACTCAGCCAGCCAGAAGGGCCTGTGGTTACATCACTGATTAAGCACAACGGCGCTTGGGTTTGGGCACGGCACGGCACTTGGGGTACCTGAGACTTGGGCCCCTCGTACGGGACAAGGTGCGACGACGGCGCCTGCGCTACGTACCGGGTACATTGACAGCTTGACACAGGCAGCGGCGGGGATTCGGATGACGCTTCGATTTCGACTTGCTGCTTGTCAGGCTGCCCCCGGCCGAACCCTTTTTCCGTCCCTAATTCTATACGAGCCCACCAGCCACCCGCCCCGTGCCTGTCCCAGCCTGTGGCTCGGCGCCGTGAGGCTGGTGCTCTGCTCAGTTCTCTCACTAGTGGTGGGGCAATCCAATCAACCAGCGTTGGCGGGAAAAAGTTCGAGTATCACGACCAGTATAGCAAACCACCATCTTGCCCAGGATCTTGGCCCTCTCCCCCCCAATTCCTCGGCTTCTTCTTCTCTTCTTTCACACACACACACACAGCACAGCCCACCATGTTCCGCACGCGGCTGCTACGGACGCCCAAGCAGGCATTGGGCCTGGGCCTGCGCGCATCGGCCGCAGCCACCACCAGCTTCAACCCCAGCTTAAGCGCCGGCTTCAATGCTGCCCGGAGGAGTCTGCATTCGGTGCCGGCGCTGCCTCACGACTACTCCCAGGGCGTGCCCAACCTGATGAGCGCCGGTGGCTTCGCCATTGCGTGGACAGACTACATGACGCTGATGCTGGACAAGCTCAATGCCATGGTTGCTGGTGAGTAAATCTTCTCCTCGAACGATGCCGCAGGACTTTTTTTTTTTTTTTTTTGCTAACTTTGCATATCAGGCACCGACCTCGAAGACCGCGACATGAAAACCATCCTCCTCATGACCGCCCGCGAACCCAACCAAGCCGCCATCTTCAACTACGCCTCCATGGCCCACAACAACCACTTCTTCTTCCAGGGCATCGCCCCCAACGGCACGCCCATGCCCGAGGACCTTCGCCGCGAGCTCGAGGCCTCCTTCTCCTCCATCGACACCCTGCGCCGCGAGTTCGTCGCCACCGCCTCCGCCATGTTCGGCCCTGGCTTCCTGTGGCTCGTCAAGGCTGGCCCCGGCGACTACCGCCTGTTGCCCACGTACCTCGCCGGATCGCCCTACCCGGGCGCCCACTGGAGGGTCCAGTCCACGGACATGAACACTGTTGGAAACGAGGGCTCCGCGAGACAGTACTACAGCAACCAGGCGCTCGGTGCCAGGCGGAGAGTTGGCGATTTGCCCCCTGGAGGTATTGAGCTGGAGCCGCTGCTGTGTCTCAACACTTGGGAGCATGCTTGGCTGCTGGACTGGGGCGTTGGAGCTGGTGGTAACGGTGGAAAGGCTGCTTTTGTCGAGTCTTGGTGGAACCTGATTGATTGGGAGAAGGTGCACCAGAGGTCTGGCGTAGCGCGCCCCGAGTTCATGTCAGAAACATCTCCTTGAAAAGAGAGGGGGGCTGAGAGGGAGGGGAGGGGAGGTTGAGGCTGAGGCTGAAAGACGACGGAAACAAAAATCCAAAGGATAAAAGAAGCAAAGAGGAGGGGGAGCGAAATTTTACGTATATATGTCATTACCAAAAACAAAAGAGATATGGCCGGCAAGCCCTGCCTCACATGCGATATAATTTGGGAAAGTATCGTATGAGAGGTGGGCCGGTTGGAATAGATGTAAGATAGTGTAAAAGTACTATATATATATTTACTATGCTCTATCTAAAAATACAAAAGTAAAAACGTAGAGATGGCCGTTATAATGAGGAGAGCGTTTGCTATTGAGTTTATACCGGTGAAGAGAGCTTCTTGAAGGAAATGTATAGAAGAGCACATACCCTAGATCTTTTTGAATAAAGCTTCTTACCCATCAGTTTCAATTCCAAGAGCTTACCAGACCCTATGTCATGTATTCGATATATAACATATGATACTCTAATTATTGCTCTGATATACTGTTTCTCACATACCGCCTGTCATCAGAATAGCATCCTAATCACAAAGGTCTATCAATTCTTCCAGCATCATTTATTCACGCAAACCTATAAATACCGCGTTTAACTATACCATTTACAGCCACCAAAAATAAATAAATAAATTTATGACAATGTTCACAATACACATCAAAAGTGCACCAGGTTTCATGCTACTTCTCTTTCTTTTATTTCCGCATTTTATATAAACCAGCTACCACTAGCTAAAAAAAAAAAAAAAAAAAAAATCTCCAAACCAACAGCAAGAAATTATTTTTTGTTTCCAAGTCATCATAATCCCTTGAAGGAAGGTTTCTAACATATAAACTAGGTATCATCAATCTTAAACCCTCAAACAGAAACAGAATGGATATCAAATCCTTCGCTGCGAATCCACGCTCGCACACACACACACACACACACCGGATTTTTGTCTTATGCAAGAAGAGAAGTCAAAGAAGGAGAAAAGGGGCAGCATGAGCGTAGGCAACTTGAGTGTGCTTTGCTACACGCGAGAGAAGAATACAAATCAAGAAGATTGAGAAGGGAGAGATTTGATAAAGAGAACAAATAAAGGAAACAGGTCATAATCATTCAATCGTTAAAGACAAAGAAAAAGTCATCAAAAAGGATCGAAGCTTGATTTATGTAGCTTAAATCATATTACCGTTGACACTGATCTCAAAGCCATCTCCCTTCTGCTTCAGTGCTTTGGCCAGCATGAGCTCTCGCATCCAGTCGATGCGCTCATCACGGCCCTTGACGGCGAAGTGGTGAGTCTTGCCAGTGCCGTTGACACCTTCGGCCGAAGCATTAGGCTGGAGAGAGCTCTCACGCTTACGAAGACGTGCTCCATTCTTGTCTTGAGGGATGAGTTGGAAGCTGAAAGCGCCAACAGGATCGCTCTTTTCACGGTTGTGTGAAATTGAGACAGCTTTGAATGCGGCAGAGAGCTTGGATGTAGATGCTAGGCTAGAGCAGGCAATTGCGTAGTCATCAATATCGACATACTCAAGTGTACGATCCATCTGCTGGGCATCTTTGTGCATGTTTAGGCGGGTTCCTTT